AATTTTTTTTTTTTTTTTTTTTTTTTTTTTTTTTTTTTTTTTTTTTTTTTTTGTAATAATTTAATGAATCCTAGTTGGAAGTAAATAGTGGTGAGGAATTGGCAGACATGTTGGAAGACCCTCCAATCATAAAAGAAACAGCTGCAATAACTTCTGCAACTCCATCAACGCTCTATGCTTCTCCTCAATCTATACCAGAGAAAAAGTCAAAACAGAAGAGATCTTGTATCTTGAGTTAACCGATTCTACATTCTTTGCTTGCCATTTTTTAATGTTTCTTAAATGTTTATAAAATATTTCATGTTTTAAATATTGAATACTTTCCTTTATAAATTCTGAATTTGTGATAATATGATATTAATTAATTGAATATGTTATGTAAAATGATGTAATTGATTTCTAATAACTTCAATATTAGCACAACATAGTTATATAGTATAATTACTCTGAAGTTTTATGTGTGCATTTTTATAAAGATAAATCTTTTATTAATTAGTGATATATTTATTAATATTTAGTAATAATTGGTCAAAGTGATACATATATTTATGTAGCAATTCAGAGTAGACCAAACAATGTATTTTTCTAAATTTTAAAGAACAAAATTGTCATGTTAAAATTTTAACAAAATATCTTTTTGATAACTGTGAAAAATTTGCAATGCATATGATTCCATGAAATGCAATTCTTGTTGATCCAATACTGTAATAATGTTAATGGATAATAGATAATTGTTCATTCATACAAAAAATACCATAAGAAAAAAAATCATAAAGTGAGGATTTAATTGCTTGACATTGAAAGTAAAGCCTTCTATTATATTTTTACATTTTTTCCCAATATTTTATTATAATTATATTCCAATATTTAATGAAAAGTCTCGAAAAGTTATTTTTTTCTTTATATAGTTCCTTTAATTTACTTGTTTTATAGTTTATATAATTTTTATACTATTTTTAATATCTATTACAAATATGAAAAATAAACCCAGTGAGTTGACTGTATAAATTAGTTCCTAGTCTAATAAAAAGTGATATATTATATTTTTAAGTAAGTCATTTTTCATATATTATTAATTTTATTAAGTGAAACTCGAAGGCTTGACTTTCAAATTCATTCAAACTCATATGAGAATTAGTGATAATAGAGGTAGAATGTTTAAAACAAATATCTGTGGTAAAACTTGCATAACTATGTGATTATTAGAGAGTTAGGGAAAATTCCATGTGCTCTAGTTAGCCGATGCCACTCACCTAACTTCTCTGTGAAATATAAATAAGAAGATATAGTATGAGAGAGAGTATAGTAGATGATAAATGTGCAAATTACCGCATTAACTTGTGGATATATTTTCTTTGCACATGATTATCATTTTTGAACACAAGCTAGTGATAATACTAATTACTTTATATACATATTAAATTATATATATATAATTATATATACACACACACACACACATACACATATTATATATTATATCATGTTCTACTGTAAATGATACAAAACATTAGATTTCACAAATATATGTATAAAGACTGATCTTGGTATGTCCCATTGGTTGTACAATCACAAAAAATGATAATGTTTATATAGATAAATATTTTAAAACATCTTATATACACCTTGAAATTATTTTTAATTTTTTATTTTAAATAAAAGATGTAAGGTGTAATAAAATATATTTAAAATAAAAAAATATATATCATTTGTAACTTTCAAATTAATAATTTAAATCAATTAATGAATATTATGTGTATATATGATTTACATTAGTTATTATTATCTTTTAAAATATTTTTAAATATTTTTAGATATTTTTAGATCTTTCTATAAAACATTCCTTTAATTTAATATATATGTATAGCAAATGGGACTATAAACTAATAGCAAACAGACAAAATATTCAAGAGGCATTCTATTTTTTGTGATCTGTATTTTTTTAACTCTTGTAGCTTTTTATAAATTTTATAAAAATTTTCGTCCAAAATACAAATGTATAACTTATCAAAAAATTTTGGCCTAATTTTAATGAGAATAATGATACAAAAATACATCAAATTTTTGATATTTCAGAACTAATTCAGAAACTAAATTTTTTTTTATTTGATATTATATTAATGATATATATATTTATATTAATATAAAAATTAAAATTTTTTAGAAATAGTAAGTTCTCGAAATCAATATATCTATAATTTATTATTGTTTTTTATAGTTATGTAAAAATTTTTTCAATTTAAATTTATTCTCAATATTTTTTTATTATTACATGTTGAAGAAAAAAATACAGAATTTGGCATAATTTCTATGTTTTACAAGAAAAAAAAGAAGAAAAATTTTTTGCAAAGTGCTCAAAAAATTATTAATAAATCACGTGTTCTATATTAAGAAATAATGCATATTATTGCCTGGGAATATTTCAATTTATAATATTGTACCAGGCCTATTCTGTAAGTTCTTAGTATAATTTTATTTTCAACTGTTAGCTTAATTGTAGATTCATTATGATGAAATAAATTGTATATCTTGCCAATATTAAACACGCTAAATAATAAAGCATTATGCAATCTAATCTTACAGTTTGTTGTGTTTTAATTTTTAACAAGGTAACAATATTTTTTTATATATCATGATTTATTTGCACAGAATTTAATAGGTTTCTAAGGAGTGCACAGTGAATCAGTCATTGGATGGGTATGTAATTATAATTAAGATTTTATGATATATGTAAGGCATTCAGCTTACAGAATAGGCCTATAAAGTTCTATTTCTACTATTATTTTTCATTATTTTTTTTTATAATTTTTTTTATTAAAAAATGAATTATGTTTTTACTTTTTAATACGTTATAATAATTATTTTAAAATATTTTGATTATATAGCTTGAAATAGATGATGGAAGAGACCTAACTGAAGGATTTTTACAAGAGGAATTACATCCAAAAATCAATTTACATCAGCCAAAATTCGCGAAACCTAAGGGTCCACCAAACAGAGGCGCAAAACGTTTAACCAAGGTTCAAGATTTAGGAACTTCGGAACAAGAAATTTAAAAAAATTATATTCAAATTATTTCAAATTTGTTGAGTTATACTAAAAACATATATGCATCACACATATAGAGATATATGCAAACACAAATTGTGTTCTTATATATTAAAAAATGAATGTGTTGTGTTTTATCTTGCTTTTTTCTTTCATTAAATAGTATTATTTGTTTCATAATTTAAAAAATTTATATATAATTTTTTTAATTTTAAAAGAAAACAAATAGATTTTATTTATTTTATTTAATCAGGCCTATTCTGTAACTCAATATTTCATTCACTTATCATTTAATTGAGAGTATTATTAGAATATAAATCAAAAATTATTTATGATTATAACTGATTATATTATAGGATATTTTTATATATTTTTTACAAGTTAGATAAAATAGATAAATTTATATTATCAATATGAAATGCAATTAAAAAGTTTGTTCTTTTTTTCATGAAAAAGAATTATTCTTATCATTCTAATTTGAGTTTATTTATCATTGTCTAGAATTATAAAGAATTATTAAATAATAATTTATGATGTAATCAGTAGATTTTATGTATATATTAATATATTAATTTGTTACTAAATTTCTATTTTTGAAATAATGACTCTTTTTATTGTTCTTTTTCAAGTATATGTATTTTCTGATTATATTCATGCAGTTCTTTTAGTTTTAATTCTTCTTCCTGTATTATATTCCTTGCATTTTCTTTTATTTTACTAAAATATAGAAATTAATTTTATTTGTTAATATTTGGAACAAATAGAATTTTTTAATTTAAAATTTATTATATTGCAGACTTACTCTCGTCTTGCATTCATCAGTTTTGATCCTGCTTCATAAAGATTATTCATATCAGTTTGAGTTATAAATAAAATGAATGATGTGATACAACCATATATAGCACCCAAAATTGTTCCTAATAGTATTCCTGCAAATGCTCCTTTCAAACCCATATTCATTTTATATATAAAACCTGCTACAGCACCACTAAACATAGTATTTAACACATCAAATCTTTCTCTATATACAAATAAAAATGCTGATACACTCCTAATGAAAAACATTATATTAATTTATATTTATAAATCTATAATATTACAATAAAAAGAAAAAATTTTAGGTAGAAAAAAAAATTAATATAATTCTTACGAGAATAAGAAACAAAAGAATCCAAGTTTTATGCCAAATGAAATACCCCCTTTTATTAAAGCAGAATTTATTTTATTTTGTATATCTCGATAGGCATAAAATTTATGTTTATATAAGGTAGCTTGATTTTCTTTTTTATGAATTTCTGATATATTTTTTGTTTTATTTATTCCACCTAATAAGAATCCTGTTATAAAACCTAAAGATGTTGCATTATAGACAGATTGTAATTCTTTGGTTGGATATCCTTTTCTGTTTAGAATAAACAATATAGTAATTTGATTAAAAAAAATAAATAAGAGTAGTAAGAAATAATAAATATGAATTAAATGATTATTCTTACTCGTCAAAAAAATAACCTTTATATTTGTCTATAAATGCTCTTTTTTTAAATAATTCTGTTAATTTTTCATTAGAATCATTATTGGATGAAGAATTAAATGGAAAAAACGCAGAGCAAATCAATCTTCTGTTTATTATTGCACGTAACATATTTATATATATTCACTGCTATTTTTGTTATATGTTGTTTATGAATTGTAATATTAAAAATGTAATTAATAAATATATTATTAAAATATATTATTATATCTATATTTTCATTTTATTCTTCATAAAATTAATATTTTTATAAATTAAATTATGCATTTAAATAATATGTAACAGTGATTATGATTATGATTATTTTACACTGAGAATATAAAGAACTTAGAAATTCGATTTCTAAGAATTTGAAAAACAATGATCAGAGATGTATACGACATCGCATCATTTTTAAAAATCGATATTAGTAATGTATTCAAATTTTTTTAAATCATTGTTTTATATAAATAATATTTTTTTAGTTTTTAAAAAATATTTTTCAATATTTATTTTTTCTTATCATATTTCGTATCAAATTTAAAAAAAGTTTATTATTATATATCTATTATTTAAAATTTCATATTTTCATAAATTATTGTATAATAATTAGTTCTTCTTTTTAACAATTATTAAATAAAAAATAAAAAGATTGCAATTTTTTACCATAATAATTAAATAAATTCAGATAATAATTAGATAATAATTAAATAAAATATCATTATGAATAAATATAATAGAAAATATATTTAAAAAAAATGAATACAAATATATAATGTTTATACCAAGTACGATCATTAATTTAATTATTTTTATATCATGAAAATAATAGAATAACCTTTTTTTAAATGGATGATAGTGGCGCCTCCAAGTCAATGAAATTCACGTCACATGAGTAACATTTTTCGCGCCTTTTTATAATTCGCAAAATATTGAATGTTGAATTTCAGATTTAACAGTAAAATCGATATTGTTCGCAAAAAAAGTACATTTTTAAATGTCATTATGCAAATAAGAATTCTTTTATTCATATTGATTAGCAATAAAGCTTTTATTACAAAATTTTTAAAATCATTTTTAAACATTTTGTGTTTAAAATAGATGATACGACAAATGCATTGGTAGATTTACTTACATGCGCCGGCGTACGATATCGTTTTGACGTAACAATATTACGTCAGAACATGGTTTACAGTACGCAAAAGGGATAGTATGCGTGGGGGTGTTGGAAAGGATCGCAAGGAGTGGAAGGGAAGCCATGGAGGAGGTGGAACGTCAATAGGAGAATCCTTTAGCTGTGTAGTGGGGAGAATGGATGAAGGTAGGGACAATCGTAGGGGTATTAGGGATAGAATCAGGGACGTAGTTATGAATAGTTTAATAAGATTTTTTCGACTTCTTTTTTATTTTTATATCATTTGAGATTATAATTACTACGAATGTAAATTCGTATAAATGACTTATAAGTAATAATCATGTTCATAAGAATTTTTTTGCTCGACTTGCAATTGTGCAAATTTACTTTTATTATAACCTAAATCTTCTAATTAATAAGTATTATTTATTTCTTTAAAATTATTTTATTCGATTGCTCGCACTCTATTTTAATTCACTATCATTGTATCATGATATATATGTTAATTTGGATAATTTTATTATAAAATAAAAAAAAATTTTTCAAATGAATCTATAAGAATCAATTATTAAAATTTTTTTATTTTTAAATATATTTTTTGATTTTTTATTAAAAATTTATTATTAGAAGTAAAATGAATTTAAATAATTTATATTCTTAAATATTTAAAAATTCTTAAAAAAATTTAATTTTTTTTTTAATTTTTAATATGAATTTATTAGTTATGAATAATATTCTTTTTCTTTTAATTTTATAAAAAAATTTTTTAAAAATAGATGATTTTTTTATTTTATTTATTTTATTTATTATTTTTTACAACACTGTTGAAAATGTTACGCTAAAAGATAAAAGATGAATTGGTTTTATTTTGTATAGTTTTCAGAATATTCGATTTCGGAATCTAATAATTTAATAATTTAATAAATAAATTTATTTATCACATTAAAAACTATCGATAAGTAATGTTTCATTTTCCTTTCATATTCTGTTTTCTATGGATTTTTAGAAGAATTTTTTTAATAGAATTTTTTATAAAAACTTACAAGAATATATTTAATAAAAATTAAGCTCAACTATATGCAATTTTAACTTTTGATGTAATTTCATTTGAAAAAAAAATTTTAAAACGTAATAAAATAATAAAATGTAATTTTTATGTTATAGTTATTTTAATTCTAATTATTTCATTAATACATTAATACGACGTAGAAATTTTAATCTGAATCTTGAAAAAATTAGTTTAAAATCTTTTTATATTTTCATTCATTATTTTCATTCGAAACAACTAAACAAAGATATCCAAAATCTCTAGGAAATATTTGATTTCAAAATGTGATCAAAATTTTTTTTATTTATTCATTTAAATTACATATTTCGAAGTATAATTAGATAATATAGAATTTGTTTAAGCTACAAAATGGTTTCATATTTTTGTTTTCAGTTTCATTTTAAAAATATCTAATTTTACCAAAAAATCATGATATCCTTTTATAAAGTTCTTATGGTATCGATTAATTTTAATTAATCTTACGAAGTTATCGATCAAAATAAATCAAATCAAAAAATTATACACACACACACACACACACATACACTTAAATAAAGATATATAAATTTATAAATTTAAATATGTTAATGTTAATATTAAATATTAATAATTATATCTAGATTATACGTATGTATTCTATATTATATATATTATATGAAATTAGATATTTTCGAAGCCACGATATAACAGGATAGACTTATTCAACAAGAATAAATTGTCCTCTTTTGGATATAGCGAAAACATGTTGTATTTTGAATTTTGTGTTATCATTATATTACTTGTACTTTGTATAAATTATTTTTAATGAAATAGTTCAGAATAATTGATTTTTATAATATATTTTTATAATATATTTTTATAATATGTATTAATGTTTAAAATTAAATTAAAATTTTTTTTTCAAAAAATGAAAATTACAAATATTAATTTGTTTGCTAATTCTTAATTATATATTTTTTTAAAATGATAAAAATATTTTTTTTTAATTTTAGTAATTTTGTAAACTTTTTTGGAATTATTTCTTTCAAAGATTCTCTATTAAAATAGGTTTATTAATTAATTATTTATAAAATGATTTATAAATTGCAAAATATTTTTATGTTTTGTTATGTTATGAATTAATTATGTATTATGTTATGAAGTAATTGAAAATTTAATAATAAATAATTTTATATAATAAATAATAGTGATAATTAAAAGATATTATTATGAACGAATAATGGAATAAACTTTATTTTTGATTTTCTTAAAAAGATAAAAGAATAATTTCTAATCTTCACAGATTGCTATTTATTTCTGGAAAAGATTTATAGAATATTTTTGGATACAGGGCACTCCCGCATATAGTACACCACCAGACTTTATTGGTCTAAGAAGGAGAAACATGGTAAAGCATCAGTGATGTAGCATTTGACAGGGTGTTTTTATAGGGTACTACTAATGGAATTAAATAAAAAACGCTACGAAACAATTATATATAATTTCAATTTGAAAAACTTAAATCTATTAAAATATTAAAGTATTGTTTTATTAAGTATTTAATTATAATAATGATAAATTCAATTTAATTTAAATTAAATTCAAATTAAAAAATTTTGAATGAAATAAGATTCAAAAATTCATGAAATTGAATCAGCCAAATCAGTTAAATTAATATAATAAATGGAAATTGTTGTATTAATTCAATAGTTAAATAAACAATAAAATAGCAAAATTAAAAATTAAAATTAAAATCAGTGGAGCAGATCGAAATCAAGATCATTAGAATCAATATTCTTATCAATAGATCAATGAATCCAGAGAAACTAATGTAACTCATACCCATCACTATCAACATCACCTTCACCACCACCACCCTGATCAGGGTATTTCATCGAGGGGTTACTCAAGGGTGGGGAGATAGATAGTGGGATCAGGAGTATAGGGGTGGGACAGAGAGTAGCTAAGGCGAACAGAGAGGGAATCAAGCCGAGCCCCACGGAGCATCGCCACCCGTGTGTATCGCACTAAAATGTGACTCTGGCCAGCAGCACCGGGAGCCGTGTGAGCGCGAGCGCGAGAGCGAGAGAGAGTTGTGTGTGCCGGAATTTTCGTTAGTTTAGAAAGCAATTGCGTTTTTTCTCACTTTGTAGCTAAGCCAATAAGTCAATACTGTTTATCGGATATTTTAAAAAAATCAAAGAGAAAGAAAGTGAAAGAGTAGGAACATTCTATAAAAAAGGGAGGATATCTTCTTGAGCGATTCGCAAGAACTATAAAAAAAAAAAACATATCATTTTCTTATAATCGAGGATCACCTGATCCAAACTTGTTTAGATTAGAGCATGTTCGATTGAATGGTGAAGAAAAAGAAAAGCCAGCGGATCTAGTGAACGAACAGAAGAACGAGTCATGTCATGTGAATTGTAGACTGACGTATCGAGTATATATGTATGCGTAGAAGTAAAAAAAGTGTACCTTGTTATTCCATCGTTACAATCGTTTATTCGCGTTCCCTTGTTACGTGAAAAACAAAACTGCAAGTTACACGGGATCACCCAGTCAGCTCCGATGACCATTCTGGATTAGTGTACTTTCGCATCACTCCACCGTGAACTGTGATTCCTTGTGTCGACGAAAAGCAGAGTGATCGTGACGGGATAAACGAGGTAAGATAAGCATCATTTTCACTCGACTTTTTATATTATATTTTGCGTTAATTGAAATTAGGTCTTAAGTTTGGAATAGATTTATTTGAAAAAAAACATGTTCAGGCTCTATAAATCTTTACCTAATTAGACTAATTTAGAATAATTTAACGTAAATTAATTGAGAAAAAAACGTGATAAATCGAATATTTGGATTTCTATTCAATGTTCGTTATTAATTTTTTACAAAAATATAAAATATTCAATCAATTGTTAAAGATACATTAACAATAGACGTCATACTTTAAGAAAAAAGACAATTTATCACATGTATGATTTTTTTGGTAATATTTAATTTTAGAACAATAAA